TCGAAATGATCTAACCTTATTTGCTGTAAAAGGCAGGTCCAAAAGCCGATTTGACGTGTTTCTGTCACCATTCGTCGCACATAAAGCAGACGTTTGCTTCTGTTTACACGACGTCCGCTGTACATCGCCGACTGTCAACTTATTTAATGGTCGAATACCATGAATCTATGACCCTCTTTCGACACATATGATCACCACTGCATCTAAGTCAAAAACGGCCAAGTGATTTGTAAATAGTTGCTTGCTTTGCACTACACCAAAATATAACGTTTGATCATCGTTTGATCTATTGCAACTTGAATCCTTGCTTGCAGCGGTTCCTTGTTTGTTCGTCACGCAATGCAGTCATTCAGTCGTGTGGTCTTGCATTATCCAACGGCCAAGCCGGCATCTTTCATTGCCAAGAGATCATGGTCATGGCCTAAATAATACATCCTAAAGGATAATTTAGACAATTGAGAAAGTAAATATTCGGAGAAACAATTCATTTCATGAACATGCGGTTAAACCACGGTTTTTCGATAGAATATCCCAATCGATTGACCAAATCGCTTCCTTACGTCTAGGTCTTCTAAGATTCACGGACCTCGTAAAAAGCATCGCCTTAGATGTGGGTCCCTTAATAGAAGATGGACAGCTTTATCTTTTCGCATCCTTACAGCCTACGAAAAAGCTTTCGAGAGACTGGGGTTCTTTCTTGCTCGCAGACCATGGATTGTTCTTTTGGTGTCGCTCATAGTTGTTTTTGCGAGCTGTCTGGGATTCATCCGTCTCCGTTTTGAGCAGCCCTCCGTTGAACGTTTCACCGCCACCGATAGCCAATCCAGGGAAGACTTGCATCATGCAGCACAGTTCTTTCCTCTTCTTCAAGCGCGCCTAGAACAGATCATCATGGTCCCTAAACATGGTCACAATATCCTCAGTGAAGATTGCTTGAATGACGCCATTCTTGTCCACCAGACCATAGTAAACATCAGTGGCTACAGTGAAATATGCTCTCGCCAATTGCTTTCAAACGCCCAGCAAAAACCATCCAATCATGGCTGTATCATTAGCAGTCCTCTTGAATTAGCTGGTACTCAATTTGAAGACTTGAAGAACCTTTCCACCATTCTGGCTCGTGAGTTTCTCCATCCAACAGTTGCTCTCTCTTCTGGACAAACATTCAGTTCTTCCCACAAGCGTATGTTGAGTAATTTTCGTGTTCATCACAAGACAGATCCACCGACTGCTGGGGCGGACGCTCTTCGAGTCATTTACTTCATCAGAGAAACAACCAGTGAACATAAACCAAATATTATTCACTTTGAAGCGTCATTTGAGAGTCTCCTGTCATCGATTGGTCGTCGCCTGAGATGCTCGTCACTCTTCTATAAGACTCAGAAATCTACAACTGATGCTTTGCAAAGCATCCTGAAACCTGAAGTGAAATCACTTTGTCTGTCGGCTTTGGCAATGGCTATTCTTGTTTTCATTGTCTTGTACTTTTCCTCTGATAATCCCAGTTGCCTAACAACAGTTCTACTGCTGATTTTATCTATTCTGTTTCCAATGACCTGTTCTGCAGGTATTATCTCAGTGATCAACACATCCCTTTTCCCGACTATCTTGTTTATTCCCTTTTTGCTTTTGGGAAAAGCAACCTCTGACGTAGTCCTTTTCCTGGTAGAATGGGAACGGCAAAAGGCGACGACATCACTTGAACATCGAGTTAGTTGCTGTGTTAACAGAGCGGGATTCCCCGTTGTCTTGTCGGCGTTATGTGGGACAATTCTCTCTGGAATTGCAATTTATTCGTCCTTTGATGTTATTTCGGATTTCTTCAAGGCGGTTCTGGTCACCATTGTGCTAGTCTCGGCCGCATCGTTTACAATAACAGTAAATTTGTTGATGCATTTCGAGAAGAAGGCAAAGGAACGTAACACGTGTAGTGCAGGATCCTGTAAAAGAAGATCGCCGATTGCTAGTGCTGGTAGCTTCGACCAAGGACTCATGCAACGCCTAAACGATAGACTGCAACAAATATTAAGGAGACTTACATGGATGATAACGTCACTTGGTGGAAAAGTTCTCTCACTTTTTATACTTGTGTGCATCATAAGTTTGTGTGTGTTGTCTGCTTTACAACCCAGTGACCGAACGAGCAAAATCGAGTCACTTTTTCAAAATGACAATTTCCAGCAATTCAGAGAAGCACAACAGACGTACTTTGGCAACGAGGCTGATTCGAGTGTCGTTTTCTTAGAGAAAATTGATTATTCAAAGCAAATAGTACAAAATCAAATTACAAACATTTGCACAAAACTGCAAAAGGCTTCTTACAGAGGGGGGAAGTTGTTGTGTTGGACGGCAGCGTTGCGACAGTGGGCACTGGATAGGAACATGACGTGCTCGGACTCTGAATTCTACCGGTGTTTAGAACGTTTTCTTCGTGTTTCCCAAAACTTTCCATTTCGACACGATTTACGTTTTGGAGGTGAAAATCACCGAGTTAAAATTCTGGCGTCTCGAATTCAGCTGAAGATGAAAGTACAAAATCAATTGCGAGAGGACAGAGGATCACTAGAGAAATTGAGGAAAGACTTACTCAAACAATCACCCCTGAAAACTGTACCAGTATGTGAAGAATTTGTTGATATCGATGACGTGTTTTTGTTGGAGAGAGAAGCAATCTTCATAGTTTTCATAACTGCCACTTGTGTAGTGTTTGTTATCTCCCTGTTTTCAAACGCAAATCTCGGGATTAGCATCTTCCTGGCTGTAACATTTGATTTCCTCGTATTGGAGGCATCAGCTATTATGGAAGCGAGTGAAATTCATCTCAACCACATATCCTTTATCTCCCTGGTTATGACGATTATCGTGTCCCTGAATTTCAGCATTCAGGTTGCCCATTCATTCGTTTTCTCAGCAAAGCAAAAAGTAAGAGTGCGCATGGCTGAGACCCTATGTTCCGTTGGGTGGTCTGCGGTAACTGCAGCGTCAATGACTGCATCTGGGTCAGTTTCACTAGGGTTTATTTATCCAAGTCTAGTAGAAGTTTTCCATCGACTTGTCCCTTTGCTGCTTGGTCTAGGACTGATCCACGCTCTATTTATTTTGCCGACGATCATCGTGTTATTCTCCGAGTTTGTACATAGTTTTGACTCCCAGAATGACTTGAATGTAGTATCTACCCAGAAGAAACAAAATGACGGAATATCTTTGCAAGTACGAGAAAGCGACACACGGCAACTCACCTCTAAACGCCCTGGCATTTCCATCGTTGGTATCAGCTGCAGGTTTCCTGGAGCCAGTAGTAAGGATCAATTTTGGCATTTACTCGAACAAGGAAAAAGTTCAAATAGTCCATACCCCAAGAACAGACCTGAACAACATAAAACATTCTCTGAGCTCTATAATCCTAAGCGGTATGTTGTCGGACGCCACTGTGTTGTAAACGGGTCCTATTTAGAAGAAATAAAAGGCTTTGACAACAAGTTCTTTGGCATTTCCAGTCAAGAAGCCCGCGGCATGGATCCTCAGCAACGAATTCTATTACAAGTGGTGCATGAAGCCATTGAAGATGCTGGACTACGGCTTTACGATCTGCAAAGGTGTCGAACGGGGGTCTTTGTCGGCGTGATGAATCTGGATTACGCAGCAGCGGTGATGTCAGATCCATCCAATTACAAAGGTATGGACCAGTTTTCCGCGACAGGATGCACATTATCTATTATCGCCAACAGGGTGTCATTCTGCTTAAATCTAACCGGCCCAAGCTTGGTCGTTGATACGGCATGTTCTTCATCGTTAACCGCCCTCAAAATAGCCTGTGACAACCTGCACAATGGAGAGTGCGAGATAGCCATCGTTTGTGCACCTAACGTTATCCTCAGTCATGCTATGCAGATGGCATCCGGCTTGGGTGGTTTTCTTGCTCCGGATGGACGCAGTAAAAGTTTTGACGTCTCTGGAGATGGCTATGGACGTGGAGAAGGTTTCGCAGCAGTCATTTTGAAGCTGTCACATGCAGCTGTGAATGACAAAGATGATGAATATTGCGAGATCCTCGCCTGTGGAATGAACAGCGATGGACAAAACGCCGTACCGATGACAGCGCCAAGTGCAAAGATGCAAGCTGAACTATCCAGAAGAGTTCTAGAACAGTCAGGAGTGAGTCCTGAAGATGTGGATTTCTTCGAGGCACACGGCACTGGTACCGCAATCGGTGACGTGGTAGAAGTTAATTCGATAGCTGAAACCTACACCAGGCTAACAACAAAGTCCACACAGAAGTTAAGGATTGGTTCTGTGAAGTCAAACCTCAATCATACAGAATCTACTTCTGGTCTTGCTGGACTAATCAAGGTCGCTCTAATGATCAAAGAGAAGAAATATGTGCCAACTGTTAACATAAATGTGCTCAATCCCAAACTTAAGCTGGAGGAAAACGGTTTTGTTGTTCAACAAACCACTGAACCATGGATAACAGAAAAAGGAAAACCCCGAATAGCAGCCTTGAACTCGTTTGGTTTTGGTGGTTCAAATGTGCATCTCATCCTTCGCGAAGTTCCTTCAGAGCAATGCTCACATGAAGAGAGCGTTTATCGTCCAAATAGTGTCTTCACCTTGTCAGCACGTTCAAAAGAAGCTCTACAGAAGTTGGCAAGACTTTATTCAAATTGGATTAGTGATAATAAAGAAGATATGGATGAGTCTTTCGTGGTAAACTTGTGCTATTCTTTGAACGAACGCCGCAGCCAATTCCCACACCGTTTGGCTCTTGCCTTTGGTTCCCCTTGTGAAGCATCCAAGTCTCTGGCATACTTCGCTGACGACTCCATGGGTTGGGATAAATTGCTTTCCTACGCAGAGGTGAACTCCAATGACGGCAAACTCGTTTTCATGTTTGGTGGTCAGGGGTCTCAGTGGTATGCTATGGGAAGGCAGTTAATTGAATGTGAAGCTGTTTTCAGGGAAGCTGTCCTGACGGTGAGCAACATACTAAAATATTTGGGTGTGAAATGGTCTCTCATAGAGGAGCTTATGGCACCAGAAGACATTTCACGAATTGCAGAGAATTGCATTGCTCAACCGGCCACTTTTGCTGTCCAGTACGCGACGGCGCAGCTGTTGAAGTCGTGGAAAATTCATCCTTCCGCTGTCATCGGACACAGTCTCGGAGAATTTGCAGCTGCCTGTGTTGCTGGGGTCATAACCGTCGAGGAAGCTGTTACACTGGTGCTGACTCGCTCCACTTTGCAAACTGGATGTCCCGACAATGGTGGTATGGCGGCTCTTGGCATGTCCGAAGAGGAGGCCAGGACATTATTGGTCAACCTGGAGTTAACTGAAACACTTGAGATAGGCGCAGTCAATGATGCGAAAAGTGTGACTGTGTCTGGCGAATCCCAATCGATCGAGACCCTGGGCCAATATCTAACAGCGCACGCAAAAGATACTTTCTGGCGTGTTCTTGGAACAAGACGTGCATTTCATAGCGCACACATGGAGCCCATTAAGACGCCTTTTCAAGCGGCTATGAAACACATCAAGCTTAAACCTCAACTTTCCAAAATTCCTGTGTACTCTACCGTTGAGGGCGACGTTCTCTCGGGTCAGAAGTTTAACGGCGATTATTGGTGGCGAAATCTTCGCTGTCCGGTCCAATTCTGCCAAGCCATAAAGCATGTTCTAAAGGATGGTTACAAGCAGATTATTGAGATTAGTACGCAGCCAATTTTAGCCCACTATGTCAAACAAATTGCTCTTCAAGAAAACCTGGATAAGCAGGAAATTCCAGTTATCGTGGCAACTCTTCCCCGAAAGAGAGTATCTGTCAAAGACCAACACTGGTGCTTTCTTCAAAACACAGTTTGTAAACTGTATACAATGGGATTTCCCATAGAATGGTCTTGTGTACAGAAGGATCCATCAGCCAGGTTTGTCCGTTCAGTGAACTCTCCATGGCTGGAAAAGAGCTTTTGGTACAGAGAAAATTCCTCTCAACCCATGGTACCTCCATTTGGTGCTGACAGAACTACAAAGAAGCAAGGTCATCCATTTCTGGGACAGGTGAAAATGACCGAGCCGTATTCAGGCCTGCATTGCTGGGAGACTGAGATTGACCTCCATCGTTTCCCAACTCTAAAGGATCATGCTTTCATTCAGGGAGGTGCTGTGATGCCTGGAGCTGCCTACCTGGAAATGGCTTTCGCTATGGTGAAGGACAAATTTGTAGATGTTGCTTGTGTGGAACTTACTGATTTGAAGCTCTTGAATCTTCTTACCCTGCCAGAAACACAGGTAATTAAAATAATACGACCCAAGAGGAAACGGTGAACGGAATAAGCCATTTTCGAGCGGTTTTTTTACCTCTTTTTCAAAACGACTCCTGGTGCATAACCTTTCGTATGGATATGAGTTTGATTTGTAAGACAATGAACGTCCAAGAAAAACTCATTTCAATATGAAAGGTTGTGCACCAAGACTCGTTTTGAAACAGAGGTAAGAGCAACTCGGAAATGGCTTATTGAAATCTTATTCTCGTAAGATAAAAATACCCCAGGTTCCCAAGGCGATGTACCAAAATTGATTGCATTCACTACGGTGTACTTTTAGGTTCGATACTTGCGACTACGTCTTTTGAAGACCGACAAAATTGATGAGGCCCAGTTCCACATTACAAGCTTACAGGATGAACAGTCTGAAATTATTCTGAGCAGTGGGAACATTTCTGTAGATCTTTTGCACAAGCACAAGAATCTCGAGGAAAAAGGTAATAATGAAGCTGTCTCCAATTATGTTAACAAACCGTATTCTCTTTATATTCTACTTGTCGGTATTGCTTCCGTTGTTTTAGTCTCGTGCTTATATTTTATTTGTTTCAATAATCGTGTCATTATCATTGCATACAGACTAGAACCAAACAACTTCAAAGTTTAAATTTGTGGTTGATGATATGCTTTGAATAAAATTTATGAGAAAACATATATCCATTTATGTAAAAATCCGCCCAAATCATTCAAGATATCTTTGCCCAGTCATTTAGGATATCAAATTTTCTTTGTCAATATACGCAGATGTCCACAAAGTTAGCCCAACTATAAAGGAGCTGACGACAAAGATGATGACCATGACACTGGAGCGGTTCAGAGAAATATCAGAACAGTTGGGGTTTAACTATGGGCCCACGTTCTCCATCATCAAAAAAATATGGCAGCGCGGCAACGAAGGACTTTGCTTGGTTGACATCAGTGGACTACCGGCTGTTCAAGCAGAAGCAGAAAGTTATGTTGTCCATCCCTGCATTTTAGACGCCTGCCTTCAATCCTGTTTTATTCCCGTTGGAAACACTGTGTTTGAAGACACCTCCTTTGTGCCGGTGTGTTTCAAGAGCATTACTCTGAACGACGTGCCATCTACCAACCAGCTGTACTGCCACGTCACTGCAGATGTGACTACGTTTCGAAGATTCGATGTTACCCTCATGAGTCCGTCAGGAAAAGTTTTTCTAACAATAAATGACTTTCTTGCTACAGAGTTGACCAGCACAGAACGTCGATTTACCTTTGATGACCTTGGCTACGAAGTCCAGTGGACCGAGGAAGTTTTGCAAAGGCAGAAGGAAACTGCGCGAAATTCGACTTGCATTGTCCTGAAAGATTCCTCCATCTTTTCAGATGCACTTATCACAAGACTTCAGGCCGCTAAGTTCAATGTCATCACAGTTGACCTGCCAAATGCTAGATGTTTTAACACAGAAGCAGAGGAAGAAATTAAAGCAGCCCTTTCGGACATACCAACAAGTCACTCTTCCAACCTCAGGGTTATCAACACGTGGCCTGTGGAAAGTAATCTTCTACCAAACAGTTTCGATGTGATAGACCAAGCTCAACGCCTCGCCTTCGCCAGTTCTGTATTCTTACTTCAGCTGCTGATAGAGAGGGAGTGTTTCAATTCTCAACTTTTCCTGATCACTGAATGTACACAGCTGTTGAATGCTTGTGACACTAACACCATCCCGTGGAGTTCTACAGTCTGGGGTCTGCGGCGAACAGCACGCCTAGAAGAATTTAATGTCAGGATTAACGCTGTTGACCTAAACAACAAAACGGATTTGCTCGAAGTAGATTCTTTGGTCCAGGAGATTCTGGGTGACAGCATGGAAGAAGAGGTGGCCTTTCGAGATGGCAAACGCTTCATAAATCGCGTTGTGAGGACGAAACTTTCCCCAGAACAGCCAACAACCAAGCGAATTGAAAGCAAGCAGAAGGGCTCGTTGTACTTGTCAAGTATCCCTTCGTCAACAACGCTCTGCCTGCGTGAAAAGAGTCTTTCGAAGCTGTCCCCGTCTGAGCTCACACTCGATCTGCTATATTGTTGGACACCCTCTGAATCCCTGATTGATGTAGTCAAACCAAATGGGTGCGTTTTCGTCGTTGGAAAGGTAACTGATCTACCTAGAGGGAGCGAAAATACCAAGTTACAGATTGGAGATGAGGTGTGTGGTGTTATCGCCTCTGGACGGGTTTCCTCCTCCCTTGCCATCAGCGTCAATAACGTGTTTGTAAAACCAACCAGCTTAACAGAAGAGCAAGCGGCATACATCCCAGCGTGCCTCTCCATAGCTTCTCATGCCCTTCAAAGAGTGGTATCAGGAGAAGAAACTCAGAAATTGCTGATACATGAAGCGAATCGTGGTCCCGGTCCAGCTGTAGTTGTCCTTGCAAAAGCATTGGGTCACAGAGCATTTTGCACCATTCCCGACACTTGCCAAGCATCTGAAAACGCTCGTCTCCTTGAATTGGGTGCAGAAAGTGTTATGCGCCAGAGTTCCTCTTATCTCGATGGTGATTCTAGTTGGCTTTTTGACGCCGTCCTATTTTTCTACCCACCTGCTCCAAATGCTCTTCGAAAAAGTAGTCGGGTTCTCAAAGGAGGAGGAAGAGTTATAATCTTGAGCTCCGACTTTGCTGGCGACGTCGTATTTACCGCAGCTACAAATGTCAGATATGAGAGAGAGGACATAGCAGGCATTCTCAGGTCCCCCCAGGTTTACGAGAACCTCAGTTTAACAAGTCTGGAATTTTTGCAAAGCAAAGGAGTCCTCCAGAAGCTTCTAGGAATGCAGCTGGTCTCTGTGGACGTGGCAACAGCCATTGAAGCTGCAAACGCATCCCTTGAGAAACAGCCATCTCCAAAAGATCAAATGAAAGGACCCTCAAGCCTTTCTTTTCTAATTCACTCGTTTCAGCTATGTGGGGAGGAGGCCGAGCGTATCAAGATTCCTGTCCTTCCATGTGGATTAGATGAATGTGGCTTGAAAGAAAACAGAACATACTTGGTTGCTGGGGGGATTCGAGGATATGGATTTGAAGTGGCTCGCTGGATGGTTGAGAATGGTGCAAAGTGCGTGGGGCTTATTGGCCGTTCAAAACCCTCAGACGCCAAATGTCAAGAAGTGCGAGAGATAGAAAGGAGGACTGGTGCAAAGATTCACATGTTCCAGGTAATTAACCTTCCATTATCTCTTCTAAAAAGCTTTATCAATAACATAAAAGGTTTTATAACAATGCGTTTTCCATGCGAGTGACCAGAGTAACAACGTTAGTATCAGCTGCTCTGTACAATCACAAGCAAAGTGATAAAATTTAAAACAATAGTTCATATTTTGTTTTTTTAGATTGATATATCCAACCAAGAACAAATGAAAACCTTTCGAGAAGAGCTCAAGACTCTTCCAAGTGTGGCTGGCATCGTTGTCACTGCCATGGTTCTGAAAGATGAATTTCTCAACGATTTGACATTTGAGAGCTTTACTGATGCCATGGCCCCTAAAATAAAAGGTAATACAGTAATATACTTTATTGTATCTACCTTATCGTCAAAATTGCAATGATTTGGGTTAGAACCAAATTAGTAGTCCTTCCACCGTTCCTACTTCAAATTTAAGCTAGCTTCGTGGCACAAGAAGACCGTTTACAACTTATTTTGATTGCCACGTAATAAATGGAAGGAAACTTCCTACCATTGTAATGTTTACCCGACAATCTTTTTAAGATTCAGCACATGTTGTCAAATATAAAGAGCTCCCAATCTTTCATGAGCGCCTTGTCTTGAGCTCCAAAGACAACGAAGACAACGTGGAGACGAACAGTAGAAAAGGAACGGAAAGAGGCAGGGTGGAGCTCATGGGAGGAAACGACAACGATCGCAGGGGATCGAGAAAAGTGCAGGACCTCTGTAAAGGCCCTATCTACCACGAGGCACGAGAAGGATAGATGCTAGATGCCTAAACATAATATTAGAGTATTAGAATCATTATGATAACAGTTTTCAATTTGTTGCAAGGTTCCTTCTTACTTCACCAAATGAGCTTGGAAATGAACTTGGATTTCTTCGTCATGTTTTCATCCATGGCTTCGATCATCGGCAACGTGGGACAATGCTCCTACTCAGCTTGCAATGCTTTTCAAGATTCTCTTGCCCAATACCGAAGACAGGTGCTCGGTCTACCCGGATTGGCGATAAACTGGGGACCAATTAGTGGAGCGGGCGTGATGGAACGAGATTCCAGTGTCGCTAAATTGATGACTATAGCAGGACTTGGTTTTATACATGCCAAAGATGGTACGCTATTTCTTTACTAAGACACGGCATACAATATTTAACAAACGGTAGGCGATGTCAGAATACTCTCACACACACTGTTGAAATTGATGGTTAAAAAGTCCATCATGAAGATATCAAAACTGATTCACAATAACTGAAAAGTGGGGGGCATTGAAATAAGTTGCAGCAAAAATATCCCGTAAGTGTACAAGATTCAGTTGTCGTCGAGGTTGTGGTGAACAGTCCTGCTCTTATAATACGGACCCTGTTGTTTTCGTTTTGTGAATATTAGTTGTTAGATCCTGAACTCTAACGGTGTGAGAACTCTGATGAACACAAATCGACAAAATTCGTGCCACAGCAAGGTCGCAGAAAATCACGTAGGGGTCAAACCACGCTCCTNGAAAACCTGGATAAGCAGGAAATTCCAGTTATCGTGGCAACTCTTCCCCGAAAGAGAGTATCTGTCAAAGACCAACACTGGTGCTTTCTTCAAAACACAGTTTGTAAACTGTATACAATGGGATTTCCCATAGAATGGTCTTGTGTACAGAAGGATCCATCAGCCAGGTTTGTCCGTTCAGTGAACTCTCCATGGCTGGAAAAGAGCTTTTGGTACAGAGAAAATTCCTCTCAACCCATGGTACCTCCATTTGGTGCTGACAGAACTACAAAGAAGCAAGGTCATCCATTTCTGGGACAGGTGAAAATGACCGAGCCGTATTCAGGCCTGCATTGCTGGGAGACTGAGATTGACCTCCATCGTTTCCCAACTCTAAAGGATCATGCTTTCATTCAGGGAGGTGCTGTGATGCCTGGAGCTGCCTACCTGGAAATGGCTTTCGCTATGGTGAAGGACAAATTTGTAGATGTTGCTTGTGTGGAACTTACTGATTTGAAGCTCTTGAATCTTCTTACCCTGCCAGAAACACAGGTAATTAAAATAATACGACCCAAGAGGAAACGGTGAACGGAATAAGCCATTTTCGAGCGGTTTTTTTACCTCTTTTTCAAAACGACTCCTGGTGCATAACCTTTCGTATGGATATGAGTTTGATTTGTAAGACAATGAACGTCCAAGAAAAACTCATTTCAATATGAAAGGTTGTGCACCAAGACTCGTTTTGAAACAGAGGTAAGAGCAACTCGGAAATGGCTTATTGAAATCTTATTCTCGTAAGATAAAAATACCCCAGGTTCCCAAGGCGATGTACCAAAATTGATTGCATTCACTACGGTGTACTTTTAGGTTCGATACTTGCGACTACGTCTTTTGAAGACCGACAAAATTGATGAGGCCCAGTTCCACATTACAAGCTTACAGGATGAAGAGTCTGAAATTATTCTGAGCAGTGGGAACATTTCCGTAGATCTTTTGCACAAGCACAAGAATCTCGAGGAAAAAGGTAACAATGAAGTTTTCTCCAATTATGTTAACAAACAGTATTCTCTTTATATTCTACTTGTCGGTATTGCTTCCATTGTTTTGGTCTCGTGCTTATATTTTATTTGTTTCAATAATCGTGTCATTATCATTGCATACAGACCAGAACCAAACAACTTCAAAGTTTAAATTTGTGGTTGATGATATGCTTTGAATAAAATTTATGAGAAAACATACATCCATTTATGTAAAAATCCGCCCAAATCATTCAAGATATCTTTGCCCAGTCATTTAGGATATCAAATTTTCTTTGTCAATATACGCAGATGTCCACAAAGTTAGCCCAACTATAAAGGANAGTCTGAAATTATTCTGAGCAGTGGGAACATTTCTGTAGATCTTTTGCACAAGCACAAGAATCTCGAGGAAAAAGGTAATAATGAAGCTGTCTCCAATTATGTTAACAAACCGTATTCTCTTTATATTCTACTTGTCGGTATTGCTTCCGTTGTTTTAGTCTCGTGCTTATATTTTATTTGTTTCAATAATCGTGTCATTATCATTGCATACAGACTAGAACCAAACAACTTCAAGGTTTAAATTTGTGGTTGATGATATGCTTTGAATAAAATTTATGAGAAAACATATATCCATTTATGTAAAAATCCGCCCAAATCATTCAAGATATCTTTGCCCAGTCATTTAGGATATCAAATTTTCTTTGTCAATATACGCAGATGTCCACAAAGTTAGCCCAACTATAAAGGAGCTGACGACAAAGATGATGACCATGACACTGGAGCGGTTCAGAGAAATATCAGAACAGTTGGGGTTTAACTATGGGCCCACGTTCTCCATCATCAAAAAAATATGGCAGCGCGGCAACGAAGGACTTTGCTTGGTTGACATCAGTGGACTACCGGCTGTTCAAGCAGAAGCAGAAAGTTATGTTGTCCATCCCTGCATTTTAGACGCCTGCCTTCAATCCTGTTTTATTCCCGTTGGAAACACTGTGTTTGAAGACACCTCCTTTGTGCCGGTGTGTTTCAAGAGCATTACTCTGAACGACGTGCCATCTACCAACCAGCTGTACTGCCACGTCACTGCAGATGTGACTACGTTTCGAAGATTCGATGTTACCCTCATGAGTCCGTCAGGAAAAGTTTTTCTAACAATAAATGACTTTCTTGCTACAGAGTTGACCAGCACAGAACGTCGATTTACCTTTGATGACCTTGGCTACGAAGTCCAGTGGACCGAGGAAGTTTTGCAAAGGCAGAAGGAAACTGCGCGAAATTCGACTTGCATTGTCCTGAAAGATTCCTCCATCTTTTCAGATGCACTTATCACAAGACTTCAGGCCGCTAAGTTCAATGTCATCACAGTTGACCTGCCAAATGCTAGATGTTTTAACACAGAAGCAGAGGAAGAAATTAAAGCAGCCCTTTCGGACATACCAACAAGTCACTCTTCCAACCTCAGGGTTATCAACACGTGGCCTGTGGAAAGTAATCTTCTACCAAACAGTTTCGATGTGATAGACCAAGCTCAACGCCTCGCCTTCGCCAGTTCTGTATTCTTACTTCAGCTGCTGATAGAGAGGGAGTGTTTCAATTCTCAACTTTTCCTGATCACTGAATGTACACAGCTGTTGAATGCTTGTGACACTAACACCATCCCGTGGAGTTCTACAGTCTGGGGTCTGCGGCGAACAGCACGCCTAGAAGAATTTAATGTCAGGATTAACGCTGTTGACCTAAACAACAAAACGGATTTGCTCGAAGTAGATTCTTTGGTCCAGGAGATTCTGGGTGACAGCATGGAAGAAGAGGTGGCCTTTCGAGATGGCAAACGCTTCATAAATCGCGTTGTGAGGACGAAACTTTCCCCAGAACAGCCAACAACCAAGCGAATTGAAAGCAAGCAGAAGGGCTCGTTGTACTTGTCAAGTATCCCTTCGTCAACAACGCTCTGCCTGCGTGAAAAGAGTCTTTCGAAGCTGTCCCCGTCTGAGCTCACACTCGATCTGCTATATTGTTGGACACCCTCTGAATCCCTGATTGATGTAGTCAAACCAAATGGGTGCGTTTTCGTCGTTGGAAAGGTAACTGATCTACCTAGAGGGAGCGAAAATACCAAGTTACAGATTGGAGATGAGGTGTGTGGTGTTATCGCCTCTGGACGGGTTTCCTCCTCCCTTGCCATCAGCGTCAATAACGTGTTTGTAAAACCAACCAGCTTAACAGAAGAGCAAGCGGCATACATCCCAGCGTGCCTCTCCATAGCTTCTCATGCCCTTCAAAGAGTGGTATCAGGAGAAGAAACTCAGAAATTGCTGATACATGAAGCGAATCGTGGTCCCGGTCCAGCTGTAGTTGTCCTTGCAAAAGCATTGGGTCACAGAGCATTTTGCACCATTCCCGACACTTGCCAAGCATCTGAAAACGCTCGTCTCCTTGAATTGGGTGCAGAAAGTGTTATGCGCCAGAGTTCCTCTTATCTCGATGGTGATTCTAGTTGGCTTTTTGACGCCGTCCTATTTTTCTACCCACCTGCTCCAAATGCTCTTCGAAAAAGTAGTCGGGTTCTCAAAGGAGGAGGAAGAGTTATAATCTTGAGCTCCGACTTTGCTGGCGACGTCGTATTTACCGCAGCTACAAATGTCAGATATGAGAGAGAGGACATAGCAGGCATTCTCAGGTCCCCCCAGGTTTACGAGAACCTCAGTTTAACAAGTCTGGAATTTTTGCAAAGCAAAGGAGTCCTCCAGAAGCTTCTAGGAATGCAGCTGGTCTCTGTGGACGTGGCAACAGCCATTGAAGCTGCAAACGCATCCCTTGAGAAACAGCCATCTCCAAAAGATCAAATGAAAGGACCCTCAAGCCTTTCTTTTCTAATTCACTCGTTTCAGCTATGTGGGGAGGAGGCCGAGCGTATCAAGATTCCTGTCCTTCCATGTGGATTAGATGAATGTGGCTTGAAAGAAAACAGAACATACTTGGTTGCTGGGGGGATTCGAGGATATGGATTTGAAGTGGCTCGCTGGATGGTTGAGAATGGTGCAAAGTGCGTGGGGCTTATTGGCCGTTCAAAACCCTCAGACGCCAAATGTCAAGAAGTGCGAGAGATAGAAAGGAGGACTGGTGCAAAGATTCACATGTTCCAGGTAATTAACCTTCCATTATCTCTTCTAAAAAGCTTTATCAATAACATAAAAGGTTTTATAACAATGCGTTTTCCATGCGAGTGACCAGAGTAACAACGTTAGTATCAGCTGCTCTGTACAATCACAAGCAAAGTGATAAAATTTAAAACAATAGTTCATATTTTGTTTTTTTAGATTGATATATCCAACCAAGAACAAATGAAAACCTTTCGAGAAGAGCTCAAGACTCTTCCAAGTGTGGCTGGCATCGTTGTCACTGCCATGGTTCTGAAAGATGAATTTCTCAACGATTTGACATTTGAGAGCTTTACTGATGCCATGGCCCCTAAAATAAAAGGTAATACAGTAATATACTTTATTGTATCTACCTTATCGTCAAAATTGCAATGATTTGGGTTAGAACCAAATTAGTAGTCCTTCCACCGTTCCTACTTCAAATTTAAGCTAGCTTCGTGGCACAAGAAGACCGTTTACAACTTATTTTGATTGCCACGTAATAAATGGAAGGAAACTTCCTACCATTGTAATGTTTACCCGACAATCTTTTTAAGATTCAGCACATGTTGTCAAATATAAAGAGCTCCCAATCTTTCATGAGCGCCTTGTCTTGAGCTCCAAAGACAACGAAGACAACGTGGAGACGAACAGTAGAAAAGGAACGGAAAGAGGCAGGGTGGAGCTCATGGGAGGAAACGACAACGATCGCAGGGGATCGAGAAAAGTGCAGGACCTCTGTAAAGGCCCTATCTACCACGAGGCACGAGAAGGATAGATGCTAGATGCCTAAACATAATATTAGAGTATTAGAATCATTATGATAACAGTTTTCAATTTGTTGCAAGGTTCCTTCTTACTTCACCAAATGAGCTTGGAAATGAACTTGGATTTCTTCGTCATGTTTTCATCCATGGCTTCGATCATCGGCAACGTGGGACAATGCTCCTACTCAGCTTGCAATGCTTTTCAAGATTCTCTTGCCCAATACCGAAGACAGGTGCTCGGTCTACCCGGATTGGCGATAAACTGGGGACCAATTAGTGGAGCGGGCGTGATGGAACGAGATTCCAGTGTCGCTAAATTGATGACTATAGCAGGACTTGGTTTTATACATGCCAAAGATGGTACGCTATTTCTTTACTAAGACACGGCATACAATATTTAACAAACGGTAGGCGATGTCAGAATACTCTCACACACACTGTTGAAATTGATGGTTAAAAAGTCCATCATGAAGATATCAAAACTGATTCACAATAACTGAAAAGTGGGGGGCATTGAAATAAGTTGCAGCAAAAATATCCCGTAAGTGTACAAGATTCAGTTGTCGTCGAGGTTGTGGTGAACAGTCCTGCTCTTATAATACGGACCCTGTTGTTTTCGTTTTGTGAATATTAGTTGTTAGATCCTGAACTCTAACGGTGTGAGAACTCTGATGAACACAAATCGACAAAATTCGTGCCACAGCAAGGTCGCAGAAAATCACGTAGGGGTCAAACCACGCTCCT